TGGCACACGCCTTTAATCCCAGCACTTGGGAGGCACAGGCAGGTGGATCTCTGTGAGTTCAAGGCTAGCCTGGTCTACATAGTGAGTTCCAGGCCACCTGGGGCTACAGGAAGACCCTGTCTCAAAAAGACCAAAAGAAAAAAAAATCCTGAGCCAGGCATGGTGGTGCACACTTTTAATCCCAGCACTTGGGAGGCAGAGGCAGGTGGATCTCTGTGAGGCTGGGGCCATCCTAGTCTACATAGTGAGTTCCAAGCCATCTGGGGCTACAGGGAGACAAACAAAACAAAAAGATCCTGAGTAAAAAGTAGTGACCAAAATAAGTCACACTACAAATTAATTAGCAAGACAAAAAAGAAAAATGGTTTTTTTTGGTCTTTTTTAAGACAGCATCTTCCTGTAGCCCTAGTTCCAGCTGGCCTGGAACTCTCTATGTAGACCAGTCTGGACTCAATCTCCCAAAGCTCCCTGATGGGATTAAAGACACGCACCACTGCACCCAGCATAAAAGACACTTTGACCAGGTAATTCCAGCCAGTTTAGAGGCCAGGGCAGGAGAATTATACATTCAAAGCCATCCTGGACAGTCTCTGAAACCTTATCTCAAAATAAAAGGTAAAAATCAGGTCTGGGGTTAATATAGGTCAGGGTAGAATGCTTAGGTTCAGTCCCCAATACAAAAAATAAATTCTGAGGATACCTGTAGAAACGTGGACTTCAGCTAAACACTACCAGTCTTATGGAAGTGTTGTATTCGTTACTTCTTTGTTGCTGTGGTAAAACATGATGGCCAGGGCAGCTTATAGAAGGAAGAATTTATTGGATTTACAGATCCCCTGTGGCTGGAAGGCATGTCAGGAGGCAGCCAGAGCAGAAAGCTGAGCACTCACATCTTTAAGCAAGCACAGGGAGCAGACAGAGGAAACTGGAAATGGAATGGGGCTATGAACCGTAGGCTGGCCATCGTCATGCACACCTTTAATCCCAGCACTTGGGAAGCAGAGACAAGCAGATCTCTGTGAGCTAGAAGCCAGCCTGATCTGTGTAGAGAGTTGCAGGCCAGCTGGGCAGCTGGGGTTACAGGGAGACCCTGTCTCACAAAAGACCAAAAAAGAAAAGAATGGACTATGAACTCTCAAAGCTGGCCCTCAGGTGACCCAGTGAGGTGCTTCCTCCACCAAGACCGCACCCCTTAGGACTTCATGACTGCCCCAGACAGCGCCACCACCTGACCAAGTGTTCAAACTCTTGGCTCTATAGGGGCATTCACATTCAAACCACTACAAACACCATGACCAGAAGTGAATTGTGGAAGAAAGAGTTTGTTTTAGCTTACGATTCCAGGAGCCTAAGAGTCCATCATGGCGGGGAGGCATGGCCACAGGCAGCCAGAGCTGAAAACAGAGAGAGAACTGGAAGTGGGGCCAGACTATGTAAGTCTCAAAACAGACCCCAAGTTACGTGCTTCCTCTGGCAAGGTCGTACCTCGTAAAGATTCCATGGCTGCTCAAACAGCGCCACCAACTGGGCCCATATACCAGGTATGCAAATAATTGAGCCTATAGGGGAAGAGTTCTCATTGAAACCAGCACAGTTGTGGTTTTCATACAGATGGTAATAGTATTATGATGTAGCATCAGATTTTAAGTAAATGCGTACTGAAGTATTTAAAGATTATGTGTCATCGGATCTGTGAATGGTTGTTTTATGTGGATGTGGGGGTGAGGGAGAGAGATGATATGTGGTGATGGAGTGTGAACTGTTTTGAGGTCTCTGTATTTGAACGTTTGGATAGTAAAAAAAAATACTGGTGAAAGACAAAATGACCTCCTAGAAATCCTCCAGTGAGTCAGCTGGAATTGCATCCCATGTTTGTGCTTCAGCCACACTACTGTCTGCAGCCAAGGGTTGGCGGAGATAAAATGGGAAAGCGCTGTCAATAGTGTCTCCTTAGCTGTGCTTCCCAAGCCAGAGTTGTTTGATTTATGGAATTTAAAAGTTGCATCAATTTTATTTGATACATTGATTTTTAGAGAAATATTATTGATTCAAGAATTTCATACAATGAATTTTGATTATATTCAAACCTCATCCCCCATCTGCACCCTCACCCCATCACCCCCAACCCCTGATGTCATGTCTTCTATTAGAAAATGAAAAACTCCGTCCATCTTACAGAACACTTTTAAGCAGGATACTAGAGAAATCATATCTCGTTAGCTTGTTGGTGATCTATAATTCCTATACAGATGTATGCCAAAGTAGGGCCCACTCTCCTTTGTACGTGATTTTGGGTCAAGATACTCCCGGGTTTCTTGGAATGGAATTTTCATTCTTAATTTCTGTTTCTCTTACACACTGCTTAGGAAGTCAAGTAGGAATTTCTCTTTCTCAGCTGTCAGGAATGCTCAGTTTTCCTCATCAGAGTCGTTTATTTGCAACCTTTGCATGCAGGTTACTTTGGCTGTTTCTGGGCCTCACTCAGTACAGTGACCCCAGTGTGGACCAAGGCATTCTCCAACAGGTTGATTCTTCAGAAGGTTTTACTATGGATAAACACAGAAGCTAGATCCTCACGGCGGGCAGCATTTAGCTCACCTCCAGTCCAAAATTATCTGAATGGCAGTTGGGAAGCTTCACAAGACAACATTACACCAGTGTCCTCTACTTTATTTTCTGAAATCTGTAGACTTCTCAGTTTCCTGTTACTGAGGACTGTGGCCAGGACTTGATAGCCACTGGGTGATGTTGATGGTCAGCCAGCCATGGTTCCACTAGGACGTGTGGGGTAGGTAAGCGGACCAGCCCCCCATTTGGATGACCATGCTGGCAAGGCTCTGCCCTGCCGTCCGCTGCCATCTTTGTGGGTGGCCAGGTCAGCTCCGTCCTGCTGGGGTACGTGGGTGGCCTGCCAGTGTGGCTCCACCATCTTGGCTCCCCACTTATTTTACCTATTACTTGCCAAGTCCTGAGTTCAGAATTTTGAAATAAGTATAGAAGCATCAAGATTCTTTATAAAATGCAGAGCTGCTATGCCACCATCACTCCAGCTGCGCCTCCATCTTGGCTCTCCGGCTATTTTCTTTCTTACTGCCAAATTCTGAATTCAGAATTTTGAAATCGATATAAAAGCTCCTATGATCCGGTTAAATATTCCTCTTCTGTGATAAGGCTCTTCACGTGTCCTTTGTACACATACAGTCTCTTGGGAGTCATGCGCCCCAGCCTGAGGCTGCCTAGGGCCTGCCTCATTCCTACACTGTCTTTTCTCTCAACACCATCACTCCACGCTGTCTTGTCGTGTTCCTTCTTGTATGTATCAAGACTCGTACTGAACAGGGAGTTCTGGGTTGCAAAAGAGGATTTATTTTTCCATCTGTCCTTCATGCCTTTTTCCACCCATTGAACAAATACACAAAGTACTAAATTTTATATGTTTACATTTTAAAATATCCTTTTAGCGTTTGATTCTCATAGGTTATCTCATAGGTTAGTCTCAAAGGATAACTTTGGGGTTGTTTTTTGTTGTTGTTTTAGTTTTTTGATACTAGGAATCAAACCCAGAACTCTATGCATGCCGAACCAGTGTTATCTGTTTCTAGTTCAGTCATTCGATTTCGGGACACACACACCTCCTCCTCCCAGTACTGGGAATACCTAGGGACCCATGTATTTTAGACATGCTTGATACCACAGACTAACTGCTTTTTTAGATGTTAGATTCTTTTTTTTTTTTTTTTTTTTTTTTTTTTTTGAGAGAGACAGGGTCTTCCTGTACCTCCAGCTATTCTGGAACTCCCTATGAAGACCAGGCTGTCCTGACTCCCCAGTACTGGGACTAAAGCTATGTAGACCAGACTGGCCTTGAGCTCACAGAGATCTGCCTGCCTCTGCCACCTGAGGGCTGGGATTAAAGGTATGCACCACCATGCCTGGCTAAACTTGAGACTTTTTATTTTATTGTTGGGTTTTCTGTATGTAGTATGTGTGCATATGTGCACGTATGTGGGGGTATAATGTTGTACATGTGTACACATGCATGTGGAGGCCAAAAATTGGACACTGGGCATCTGAGCTCAGTCCTTACTCCTGCTTACACAGCAGGTGCTTTACTGATTGAGCTGTCTTCCAGGCCAAGTCATTTCAAGTTTTCTTTGATTACTTTTGCAGGTTATCCGTACTTTAGATCCTAAACAGAACCAAGGGGCAGCACCAGAAATACAAGCTCTTAAAAATCAACTCCAGGAACGAGATCGACTCTTCCATTCATTAGAAGTGAGTGACTTCACTGTGTAATAAAACACTGGGGTTCTTTGTTTGGTATATTCTAAGATCCTTGATCTATTATACAATTATACCCTTAGATTTAGAGAATTGTGTGTTCTTTTTATTAAATTCTTTCATATCTTTACATGTGCCTGTGCTTCAGAAAGAATATGAGAAAACCAAGAGTCAAAGAGACATGGAGGAGAAATACATCGTTAGTGCCTGGTACAATATGGTAAGAAACAGCATTTCAGAACATAATGCAAGGTTTAGTGATGTGTTGTTATTTTGCCTTTGCTGTAGAAGTAACGCTACCGAAAGAATCTGAAAGTAATTGCTGTCCTAACATACACTAACAAAGCCTCTGTGTTGACCTTAGGACTGAAAAGCCTCATAAATGGTGCAAAAATGTCACTATCCCTAGAGAATAGAAAATAGCCATTAGGTTTTGTTCCTCAGAGCTGTTGTTGTGAAGAAGCATTAAGATCTAAATGCAGTAAAGTAGTTCCTGCTCTCTGGGGCCGGGGGGCAACACTATTTTTAAGTATTACAATTGGTTCTACCTCTTAAAGGTAGTGTCCCCAACCTTAAAATATAGTTTGACCTTTGCTAAAAATTCATTCATTTCATAGCATATTGTATCTATTTTTACATCATGTTGGTTAAAGTTTAAGATTTTAAAATTTTTCAAAAAGAAGAAATCATTCTGAATTAGGATATTATTAGCAGCAATTTCTTGAAAATAGAAAAAGAACCTAGAATATTTAAAGGATTTCTTTCGGGAAATAGAGTTCACGCTCAGTGTTCTGTCTCTTCCCTGAAGCTTAGTATTCTCTTCATATTCTCAGTCTCATAGCCCAGAACCTCAGTTCTTCTTAGTAATTTCATATTCTTGATGATTTTTGTGACTTGACACATTGTTTCTTATGGAACCAGATTTATTTATTC